GAATAGGCAAGTCCATAGAAACACAATGTAGATTCGTGGTGGCCAGGGGCCAGGGCTGGAGCACTGGGGAATGGGGAGTGACTGCTCGTGGGTACAGTTTCTTGGGGGATGGAAATGTTCTGAAATTAGGTGGTGGTGGTAGTTGCACAACTGTGAATATACTAAAAGCCACTGACTTGCATTAAAGTGGGGAATTTTATGGTATGTGAATTGCATCTTAATTTAAAAAATAAAGAAGTTGAGGGATTCACAGAGCACCTTGGGAGAAGGGGTCATGAGAAATGGTACTTTTAGGGGTGGAATCCATAGAATTGCTGGAAAAGTGATCAAGGTCCTAACCAGAAACAGAAGAGGTTTGTCCAAACAGAAGATGAATAAAAGGCTGGGCTATGGACTGAACGGCTGGAGTAGATGGCACTGCCAGGGAGGGAGGTGGCTTCACAGAGCGGCCCTGCCCCTGAACAGAGATGGAAAGGCTTATCCTTCAATCCTGTCATGTGTTTGAAGGAGGCCAGTGGATGTGGCGGTTGGTTAAAAGCAAGGATTCTATACTCAAGACTGTCTAGATTTGAATCCTGGCTTTGCCACCAGTTGTGCGACCTTGGGCAATTCAGGGAACAGCTCAGCCTAGGAAAATGGGGAAAACAGTGCCTAACATGCAGTATATTTCAATTCATAATAGGTGTTATAATAACTATGATGTGGTTCTTCTTTTCCCCAGCAAGGATTTTAGATAATTACATTTGAGCGCTGTTTTTGTTTTTTAAAAAAGTATGTTTTTATTGATTTTAGAGAGACAGGAAGGGAGAGGGCAAGAGATAGAAACATCGATGTCATCATCGATTGGCTGCCTCCTGCACGCCCCCTGCTGGAGATTGAGCCCAAAACCTGGGCTTGTGCCCTGATGGGGAATCAAACCTTCCACCTCTTGGTGCATGGTTCGATGCTCAACCACTGAGCCACACTGGCCAGTCTGAGCACTGTTTTTAACTGCTAAACCTTTTTTTCAAACAAAGCCAAAAAATGAGAATAGAGCTGAGTGCTCTTGCTGAATTGACTGCCTGCTCCCCTACTCTCTCTGGATCACAGTGGAGATCCCTAGGGACTCCTTTGTGGAGAACATTTTGAAAACTGCTGACGTAGTGGAATCCTAGGTGTAGAATCAAAAGACCTAGAATCGGGCCTTGTCTGCCATTAACAAGCTGTGTGACCTTCCGTGGGTTAATACCCCGCCCTTGGCCTCAGTTTCCTCATCCAGGTAATGTAAAAGTTGACTAGGGCTGTGGTGTCAAGAGTTCTGAGAGAGGTGCCCCAGGAAGATGTGAGTGGGAGCATGCTGGGTGAAGACAGGAAAAAAAGGGAGTGGGAGGAAGGGAAGACCTGTGAAAGGGAGCAGAGGCATTGGGGTGGTAGCTGGGGTGGGGAGACGGACATAGGGGAAAGGAAAGCTTTTCGGAGGTGGTGGTGGTGTGTGTAGGGAACACAGCAAGCTTGTGTGCTGGTGGGAAGGTCTGGGAGACCGGAGTACAAGGAGGGAATACCTGGAGGAGAGGGCATGAGATCCAGGCACACCAGAGGGCTTGTCTTTGGGGACAGATGCAGTTAAGTACAGGGCAAGGATATCAGGAGGGCGTGTGAGGGGCTTGAGAGAAGGTATCTAGGAGGAAAGAGCTAAAGTTACTAGGGAAATGTAGGAGTGCCAGGTGATGGGGTACCCGGTAGAGGTTTGGGGTCAGGGTTAGAATGTCGGGGGAAGGCAGTCAACTTGGTAAACATTTTCCAGTAATGTGCAGCTGTTGAGATGGAGACCTGGGAAGGCAGTGGGTGTTGAACTAGAGTTGACATTCGCTGGTCCAAGTGAGTAAGTGAATTGAGGGTGTTTTCAAGGGAGGGGTTATTCTGCATAACGGACTCTAAGCAGGTGAAGGTTGAAAAGTGTTTGCAGGCGTTAAATCTACCTCCAGGAGTTTGTTTTATTGTTTTTAATGAGAGCACATGTGTCCTGTAGAGCATGTGGGATTGATGGCAGTTTTATAAGAAAGGGAGCGGGATTTCGTCCAAAGGAGCCACACTCAAGAGGGACATTTTATGTGAATACCCTCCTTTACTGCTGCATCACTCAAATTCCTTGACTTATATTAGGAGCAACGAACCCACTTAGGTCTATTGTATGTAGGTCATTTATACTTATGTACATGGCCTGATTTCTGTGCCTGGAACACAGATGTTCAGTAAACATTTGGTGAACAAAGCAATCTCAATGTTAGCCAAACCTTACAAGCAGGTGATAACCCATGTGGAAATGTTTAGAAAACAAGTTTCTTTAGATTTTCTATTTGAGTCCTACACAGGCCTTTAAAAGTTAATAGTTGGGTTTAATAGGTACTGTGCACACTTTTGTTTGACGAAGATGACAAAAGTTCTGGAGATGAATGGTGGTGATGTATGTATCCATCACATGAATGTATGTAACACCACAGGACTGTACCACTTAAACAGGGAAAAAAGTTAATGGTATCCTCACCATGGATTCTATATTATCTTTAAAGAGAATGAAGTTGAGCTATACCTGATGGCATAGACCGAAATCCAAGATACATTAAGAAAGCTAGGGGCAGATCAGTCTGTGTGTGTATATTACTTTTAAGGAAAGACAAGTGGTGACATATACTTAAGCACACAGCATTACCTGTATATGAACATTATCTCCAAAAGTGTAACAGAAATCATTTAACTCAGAAGGGCCTGGAGCCAAGGTAGGAGGAACATCTACTGTTCACTGTGTGTATTTCCATATTGTTGACCACGAGTCTGTATTGCTTTTTCAAATATAAGAACCTGAAAAGGTAGATAGTGGTTCTCAGCCTAAATTACTACTTCTGAGTATATTCCTTAAAAACTGTTCTTGTTTTTAAGAACCTATATAAGCGTTAGTCACCTGAGTTTCAGGATTATTTCCATTTTAGAGGATGCTGAAAGTGCAGAATGTGAGTCTCAGACTTTGCGATCACTTATCAGATATCTTGAGGATTTCTAACACCCTTTTCTTCCTCTTTTATGTGCAGCATAATAAGTGTGCCACATACTCCGTGGGAATGCAGAAAACTTACTCCATGATCTGCTTAGCCATAGATGACGATGATGATAAGACTGATAAAACCAAGAAAATCTCGAAAAAGCTTTCTTTCTTGAGTTGGGGCACCAACAAGAACAGACAGAAGTCCGCCAGCACCTTGTGCCTCCCGTCAGTTGGGGTTGCCAGGCCTCAAGTCAAGAAGAAGCACCCCTCTCCTTTCAACCTTCTCAACTCCGACAGTTCTTTGTACTAATGACAGGAAACAAAAACGTTCAGGCCCAAAACTTCTACAGTGCTGACTAGGCCTTCATATTTGTGCCATAATGGAAAATTTCTAAATATTCTCAAATCCTGTCTTCTTACAGGACAACCTTACAATGGATGTCTATGAAAGTAACAAGAAACCTCTGGAAATGTGTGGAAAACAAATGTATTCAAGGAATGTCACCATATTGCTGCAAGTTATTTATTATACAAAGTATTGTAAATAGAATAGTGATGAAAATATGGCTATTTTTAACAGCTACAATGATGACTAAATTTTAGATACTATCAGAGTTAAGTTGGGGTTACCTATATTGGTCTTATTTGTAAGTTTCCAGGCTTGGGTAATAATTCATTCCTTAACCCAGAATCCAGATGAGCCCAAATTAAACAGGTCAAGGAATTATAATTATGGGTTTAAATTAGTATTAATAAAATGTTACAAAGAGCTGCTTCCTAAGGGGAATTCATTAACCTAAAATAACAAGATTTTACTACTGTTTCTACATAATATGAATGCTACTTCCAGATAAAGTCTAGGGTCCAATTTGTCATGACTTATTAGATGTAACAGTTTTGGAGTAGCTTTCCTTCCAGTTACATGTCATTTAAAAGTTGCTAACACGGTGGCAGTGTTAGATGCAGATGCTGTCTACAAGGTAGATAATATACTGTTTGATACTCAAAACATTTGTCATTTTGTTTAAAGTAGAAAGTACATAATTGTATATTTTAAGAGTCTTTAAAATGGGTTGAATTTTATAAGGTAATGATGTAAATGAATCAAGTTTAAAGCTCTATTTGACTTTTTAAAATGACATTCTTAGTTGATTTCTCATGCTATACATTGGATGATACCGTGATTCTAACAGGATTCACTGTTGACATAGTACAGGTTATATAGAAACATAGTATTGAGGTCTAGTTTTGAGAGTTAACAAGAATTGAAAATATTCTCTAGTGTGCAATATCAAAAGGGAAGCAACACCTTTGGGAGAGTGTATTCACTGCTCATAGGGCCATTTTTGTATAAATATTTAAATAAACACATTCATTTGCCTGAGTTAATGTTTTTTACTTCCTCACTTTAATTCCCTTCTTTCAAGTTGTTTCTACCCTAATACACAAATGATTTTATTTTTGATTTTTAAAAATCACTAACATTTCACAAAACAGGAGTTTCAAGTTATCTTAGTATCTTTGAAAGCATATGGCATCTTTAATTGTATTTATTTAATCTTCACCCGAGGATATTTTTTCCATTGGTTTTTAGAGAGAGTGGAGGGGAGGGAGGGGGAGAGAAACATGATATAAGAGAGAGACATCGACCAGGGCTGGGGATTGAACCTGCAACCCCAGTATGTGCCCTTGACCGGGGAATCAAACCTGCTACACGGGTTTTGTGCACAGGTCAGCGCTTAGGGCAGTATTTATTTTTTGAATGGGCAAGTGTACCTTTTGATCCCTAGCCTACCCCCAGCTCTTCTTTCTGGATACAGCTGCCCTTACCGTTTTCCTGTGTATCTTCCCACTATACTTTGGCTTTTTATCTTTAAGTGGGTACTCTACATTCCAGGCTTTCTGTGTTCAGATGTTCCCAGTGATTATAAACAAACTGTGCAGCCACCATGAAGGAAGTGATCAAGGGAGGAAACACAAAGGCTGTTCAATTGTTTATTTACACTGGCAGCAGCCCTCAAAGCACAGGTATATTAAGCCCAGACCTGAACAATGACTGTGTCACCAGGAACAAGGGGCTTATGGTACACAGTGCTTCATTGTAGGTTTGTTTCCTGTATTTAGAAGGTCATATCCACCACCTGAAACTTGGTAAGACCTTTCCATTGATAGATGGGGGTCAAGGTCACACATTCAAATCGCCCAAGATGGCTTTTTTTATGAGTCTGAGAGTCCCTAATTAGAGTGACTCTTAGGAAAATCGCCACTGGCCCTGTTCATGGTAGCAGAATCAGGGCAGCACCACCTGGGGCCCACTAACTTAAATGCCTGCACCCAGAGAACAGCGCAGGACAACTAGCAGGTTCCACTCAGTCCTCACCTAATTGCTGTGAGGAAATCTCTTTTCTTGATTTTTAAATATGAAAAGAAAACAAGATCCTGTAGTTTGCAGTGTAAAGCAGAAAACACAGTAGATGCTGTGAGAAGAGCTGTCACCTGGACTGTGTGAAGAACCCATGAATTTGCTGTGCTACTGCTTGTCCAACAACCTGCTCCAGTTCTTCGATGGAAGCATTACTTAGTTGCTGGATACTTGGGAACTTCTGAAGCAGAAGGGAAGCTTTAACTTTTCCAACTCCTGGGATCTGCTGCACAGTTCGAAGTAGGGACAGCTCAGAGATTTGAGCCTGTTTCTTCTGGAGAAAAGGATTCTTACTGGGCTCCTTGGTTTGCTCTTGAACCTGAACCAAAATTAAAGAGCATGTGAGCACCCTCTAGAGGACTAGCAATCTTTCAGTTTTTCTTTTTGGTTCAACTTGATATACCACTACAAATGTTTTCATATACCATGAATATAATTTTTCATCAGCAAAATTATTAAAAGATGAACCATATGAATACACAAAGGAGTAAGAGATAAAATTTTTTAAATAAAAACTTAGGTTTCCAGAATGGTTATGATACAACCAATGAAAACATACTCTGAGAAATTCAAACATGTTCCTATGGTCCACTAAGAAACATTTCAGGTGTATGCCATTAAATGACTACACCTAAATTGGATCTGCCTGTCAGAGGAGACACCCAGTCTTCAGTTAGTTGTGGATACAGAAAGACAGATAATAGCACTGCATCAAGGCAAGTTAGGAACAGTAAAGCAAAATGTGGCAGAGCTGTGGAGGGATCTGTGAACACGGGACTGCATTTCCAATTTGGTTCTCAACGTTAGCTGCACATCAGAGGGGAAGATTTCACATCAACAACACAGTAACACAAATTGATGCTTAGGCCCTACTCCCACATTCTGATTTTTAATTGGTCTGAGTAAGGCTCATGTATTACTATTTTGAAAAGTTTCCCCACAAAATTCTGACATACAGTCAAGTTGAATAACCTTCAACTGGGTTTAAAAACAACATAACTTGCACACTGAATGCTGATGCTTAAAAAATATGTGGCGATGAGGCAAAGCAGCTGCTAGAGGACATTTTCACCAGCATCAGTGCAGAATAATCAGCGATGGAGCCATCACAGTCTGGGAGTCTAAAATCAAGTCTCCAACTTGTTCACTTTGTTATACAGTTGGCCTAGAATGTATCAAGCTCAGCTGGTAGCAGAGGCAGCTTCTGAATTTACATTCCTCAAAAGGGTTTTATAAAGCAACACAGAATGATTAGAGGGACTCAGAACCCGCAGCAAGCAAGGGCAGATGCTAAAAGATGCATGAAGGCCAGCTGAGAGTCCTCAAGGCAGGGCTATCGTGGAGGAGTAGGGATCAGTACTTACTAACTGGATAATGATGCAGGACGCTTCTATCTGGCTGGCCACTGGAAGCAACACCATCCCGAGGTCCAGCACAGTAAACTTCTGCATGGCTGGGAAGTACTGTTCACTCATCTGCGTTTTTTCAACTACCACCATGCCTTTAAGATTACTGGACTTCAAAGAAAAATAAACACAGTAAACCATTCTGTAACAAAATCCCTTTCAAGTTTAAGGAAGCTAGCGCTCCGAGGGTGCTTGGAATGGCTAACGGTTTTATATAAATTATCCCATACATAAGAGGGAAGGGGAAGAGAAATTCATTTTCAATGTCGGTTTCTTCAATTCAGTACTTACATTTCTAACGCGAACAAGCCTCTTGCGGTAGCTATTTCCTGCCACCAGATCGGCTTCTGTGATATAAAGAATGCAGGATCTGACAGATAAGTAAAAATCTACCGGGGCCAGGCCATCCTCAAAAAGGAGTTTAATTTTCCCTTAAATGCAGACAAGAAAATAAGTTCCGTGAGCTCTGAGTGAAAAGGGAGCAATTGGTAGGACGTGTTTTAAAAGTGGGGCGAGGGCAGAGAGGGTTTATGCAGAGGGCAACCCACCGACCTTGCATGCCCTGGGCCAGCTGCGACCCACGCCATTTCTCACTGGCAACAACGTGCCCCAGAGGCACGTGCACAGGGCCTGTGCCCCCAGGGGGGTTCCTTTCCATGGCGGCCTCGATCTAAAGAGGGAAATTCAAGCCTGCGACGCGAGGCGGTCCTGCGCACCGCCCCACATTCCACTCGAAGCCGGGGCGGGGCCTCTTGGCCGGAGCCGGTCTTCAGTGTTCGCTAATTATTTCCCAGAGTCTAAGAACCAGGACTTTCCCGTCCCGATAGCCCCGTCCCTCATTTTCGTCACCTGCCTAGCCCCTGACACCCCAGCTCCGCCGGTGCAGTGGCGCCGCGAGCCCAGTCCTTCGTCTTGCCCGCCCTCCGCCTCGCTGGGCGTCAGATAGGCTATAGCGCCAGAGATTGACATCTCCTCTGNGGGGAGGGAGGGGGAGAGAAACATGATATAAGAGAGAGACATCGACCAGGGCTGGGGATTGAACCTGCAACCCCAGTATGTGCCCTTGACCGGGGAATCAAACCTGCTACACGGGTTTTGTGCACAGGTCAGCGCTTAGGGCAGTATTTATTTTTTGAATGGGCAAGTGTACCTTTTGATCCCTAGCCTACCCCCAGCTCTTCTTTCTGGATACAGCTGCCCTTACCGTTTTCCTGTGTATCTTCCCACTATACTTTGGCTTTTTATCTTTAAGTGGGTACTCTACATTCCAGGCTTTCTGTGTTCAGATGTTCCCAGTGATTATAAACAAACTGTGCAGCCACCATGAAGGAAGTGATCAAGGGAGGAAACACAAAGGCTGTTCAATTGTTTATTTACACTGGCAGCAGCCCTCAAAGCACAGGTATATTAAGCCCAGACCTGAACAATGACTGTGTCACCAGGAACAAGGGGCTTATGGTACACAGTGCTTCATTGTAAGTTTGTTTCCTGTATTTAGAAGGTCATATCCACCACCTGAAACTTGGTAAGACCTTTCCATTGATAGATGGGGGTCAAGGTCACACATTCAAATCGCCCAAGATGGCTTTTTTTATGAGTCTGAGAGTCCCTAATTCGAGTGACTCTTAGGAAAATCGCCACTGGCCCTGTTCATGGTAGCAGAATCAGGGCAGCACCACCTGGGGCCCACTAACTTAAATGCCTGCACCCAGAGAACAGCGCAGGACAACTAGCAGGTTCCACTCAGTCCTCACCTAATTGCTGTGAGGAAATCTCTTTTCTTGATTTTTAAATATGAAAAGAAAACAAGATCCTGTAGTTTGCAGTGTAAAGCAGAAAACACAGTAGATGCTGTGAGAAGAGCTGTCACCTGGACTGTGTGAAGAACCCATGAATTTGCTGTGCTACTGCTTGTCCAACAACCTGCTCCAGTTCTTCGATGGAAGCATTACTTAGTTGCTGGATACTTGGGAACTTCTGAAGCAGAAGGGAAGCTTTAACTTTTCCAACTCCTGGGATCTGCTGCACAGTTCGAAGTAGGGACAGCTCAGAGATTTGAGCCTGTTTCTTCTGGAGAAAAGGATTCTTACTGGGCTCCTTGGTTTGCTCTTGAACCTGAACCAAAATTAAAGAGCATGTGAGCACCCTCTAGAGGACTAGCAATCTTTCAGTTTTTCTTTTTGGTTCAACTTGATATACCACTACAAATGTTTTCATATACCATGAATATAATTTTTCATCAGCAAAATTATTAAAAGATGAACCATATGAATACACAAAGGAGTAAGAGATAAAATTTTTTAAATAAAAACTTAGGTTTCCAGAATGGTTATGATACAACCAATGAAAACATACTCTGAGAAATTCAAACATGTTCCTATGGTCCACTAAGAAACATTTCAGGTGTATGCCATTAAATGACTACACCTAAATTGGATCTGCTTGTCAGAGGAGACACCCAGTCTTCAGTTAGTTGTGGATACAGAAAGACAGATAATAGCACTGCATCAAGGCAAGTTAGGAACAGTAAAGCAAAATGTGGCAGAGCTGTGGAGGGATCTGTGAACACGGGACTGCATTTCCAATTTGGTTCTCAACGTTAGCTGCACATCAGAGGGGAAGATTTCACATCAACAACACAGTAACACAAATTGATGCTTAGGCCCTACTCCCACATTCTGATTTTTAATTGGTCTGAGGTAAGGCTCATGTATTACTATTTTGAAAAGTTTCCCCACAAAATTCTGACATACAGTCAAGTTGAATAACCTTCAACTGGGTTTAAAAACAACATAACTTGCACACTGAATGCTGATGCTTAAAAAATATGTGGCGATGAGGCAAAGCAGCTGCTAGAGGACATTTTCACCAGCATCAGTGCAGAATAATCAGCGATGGAGCCATCACAGTCTGGGAGTCTAAAATCAAGTCTCCAACTTGTTCACTTTGTTATACAGTTGGCCTAGAATGTATCAAGCTCAGCTGGTAGCAGAGGCAGCTTCTGAATTTACATTCCTCAAAAGGGTTTTATAAAGCAACACAGAATGATTAGAGGGACTCAGAACCCGCAGCAAGCAAGGGCAGATGCTAAAAGATGCATGAAGGCCAGCTGAGAGTCCTCAAGGCAGGGCTATCGTGGAGGAGTAGGGATCAGTACTTACTAACTGGATAATGATGCAGGACGCTTCTATCTGGCTGGCCACTGGAAGCAACACCATCCCGAGGTCCAGCACAGTAAACTTCTGCATGGCTGGGAAGTACTGTTCACTCATCTGCGTTTTTTCAACTACCACCATGCCTTTAAGATTACTGGACTTCAAAGAAAAATAAACACAGTAAACCATTCTGTAACAAAATCCCTTTCAAGTTTAAGGAAGCTAGCGCTCCGAGGGTGCTTGGAATGGCTAACGGTTTTATATAAATTATCCCATACATAAGAGGGAAGGGGAAGAGAAATTCATTTTCAATGTCGGTTTCTTCAATTCAGTACTTACATTTCTAACGCGAACAAGCCTCTTGCGGTAGCTATTTCCTGCCACCAGATCGGCTTCTGTGATATAAAGAATGCAGGATCTGACAGATAAGTAAAAATCTACCGGGGCCAGGCCATCCTCAAAAAGGAGTTTAATTTTCCCTTAAATGCAGACAAGAAAATAAGTTCCGTGAGCTCTGAGTGAAAAGGGAGCAATTGGTAGGACGTGTTTTAAAAGTGGGGCGAGGGCAGAGAGGGTTTATGCAGAGGGCAACCCACCGACCTTGCATGCCCTGGGCCAGCTGCGACCCACGCCATTTCTCACTGGCAACAACGTGCCCCAGAGGCACGTGCACAGGGCCTGTGCCCCCAGGGGGGTTCCTTTCCATGGCGGCCTCGATCTAAAGAGGGAAATTCAAGCCTGCGACGCGAGGCGGTCCTGCGCACCGCCCCACATTCCACTCGAAGCCGGGGCGGGGCCTCTTGGCCGGAGCCGGTCTTCAGTGTTCGCTAATTATTTCCCAGAGTCTAAGAACCAGGACTTTCCCGTCCCGATAGCCCCGTCCCTCATTTTCGTCACCTGCCTAGCCCCTGACACCCCAGCTCCGCCGGTGCAGTGGCGCCGCGAGCCCAGTCCTTCGTCTTGCCCGCCCTCCGCCTCGCTGGGCGTCAGATAGGCTATAGCGCCAGAGATTGACATCTCCTCTGACCAATAAGAGAACGGACAGCGCTCACAGTTTCCGCCCTGGAGGGGATTTGAATAGGACCCTCTGGTTGCCAAGAGCGACGGGTCTGAAGTATCCTTGGCTCTAATTGGCCGGCGAGAAAGCAGAGCCAGTAGCAGACGCGGTTGTTGCGGAGTCCCCTGAGTAGAAAAAGCGTGTGGGGCTCGGCCAGCGGGCGGGCGCCAGGCGGCTTTGGGGAGCGGTTCTGGGCTCCGAAGAGACTTGTTTGTCGGTCCGGACCCGGTGTGACCACTCGCCGCAGCAAAGATGTTCCTGGGGGTTGGGAGAGGCCGCAAAAGCCAGTTTGTAAGTAAATTCTCGCCCGGCCTGCGCCCTGGCCTGGGGGCCAGGAGTTAAGGGAGAGGGGCTTGAGATTTGGCAGGAGATTGAGGCGGGGTAGCGGCGCACGAGGAAGTGGTTTTCCATTCGAAACGCCCTGATCTTCCGTGTTCTAAAGAACCTTTTATCCCAGGGTCAGCCTCAGTCGGACGGGAATCGCCCTGTCTCCCCCACAACATTTGCTCCGGTGTCGGGAGTTCACTCCTGCCCTGCACAGACCTGCTCCACTGCTGGGTGTCCCCAATGGGGAGTCATTCCTGACTCCTCCGCGCCACCCACCACGGACGTCCTGTCAGAAGTTCCATACATTCTACCAATTTGTACTCTGCAAATACATCTGGCAGCCGTTCCCGCCCCGCTGTGTCCTCCAGCATCTTCCTGGACTGATGCTGCAGCTCCTCACTATTTCTCTGCCTATTTTTTTTTTTTTGCTACTTACTTCCTCTAGTATCCTGACTCCAACAATCCGTTAACACAACCTTCCCACCCCCATCCCGCACAACTAATCTATTGATCTTACCAGTGTCCTTACTGCCCTCGTTTCCAGCCCTAGTTTCTAATTCCACAGCCTATCATTATAATCACTTTCTCTATACACCCTCAGCTCCCATGCTGCCGTCTCCTTTGTCCATACTTGCCTGGCAAAACTCCAGACCTACTTATATCCAGCTCTCTTAATACTTGAAGTGCAGAGAAAGCATTTTGATAAGGGCACCCCTGAACTCAGTTTTGTTTTGTTTTTCTGAACTCAGTTTTAAACCGAGCTTAGAAAGCGTGCCTGACTTGGCGACCTGTTCTCAGCCCTCCCACCTGCGGCAGGCGTTTTAGACAGGTTGAGAAGCAGTGAAGACATACACAAAGCATATTTTGCATTGCAGTTTTGCTAACTCAGCATGGCATTATTGAGTTCCTGCTCTGTGTCAGATACCTACAATTGATTGACAGCCTATGGCCACACTGTCTAAAGGATAGACAAACCCATAAGTAAGTCAGCACAAAATGGTAAGGCACAAAACTGCTGGTAAGGTGTGTACTAGGCAAGAGGCAGAAAAGTCAGTCTGGAGAGTTGACCTGGACTTTGGAGGGGAGGGTAAGGAAAGAGAATTCTTGGAGGTGGGGAGAGACATCATGTACAAAGGCCTGAAAAAGAATATATTGTTTGCTGTGTGGGAAATGGAAATTAAGGCAATTCTGAGTATTTAGCACAGAGTGTATGTGTAGAGATGAGGAGGGGTAGCAAAAAGTGAATCTGGGTTTATTGGTGGGAACCAACAAATAGCAGCTTAGCAGCCACTCTAGACCATTTTATCTACCATCAAGAGAGTGGGGCTGCCCATGAGAGTTTTCCTGCTGGGTTGAGATAGGTTCATCCTGTGTTTTGGATTATGTTAGGAAATGATTATAGTGGTACAGTAAGAAATGTTTAGCATATTATGAGAGATTCACTCTGTCAAAAAAACAAAACAAAGTAAAACTCATGAGGCCTTTTTGAAGGATATACCGGATGCCAGCCCCTAGGGATTCAGAGGTGAAGAGAACCCTTTTTTTCTCCTCGAGTGTCTCCCTGGTGTGGGGGAGGAAGGTAGGGGAAGGGGAAGAGGCAGGTATTAAACTGTCAAATTGCTTGACAGATGCAGGATGGTAGGTGCTACACAGAGGTAAACAGAATAGAGGGATACAGCAGACACCGCTCTGGAATGCCTGTTTTTGGAGTTGGGCATGCAAGTGA